GTTCGTTCGTTTTGCTTGCATCTTCCGTCTTCCGTCTCTTTTTTGTGTCTCTTCTATTGCCACATTTTTTCTTAACGCAGAGATGTGTGCAGATATTGAAATCGTCACGTCAAATCAGTATGACGGTGCGAGCGCCGCCCACGCTGAACTCAACGGCGCCGCTGCACGGTTTTGGTCCACCCTCGCGGGATCCCATGTACGCATCGATGGCCCCCCTATTACCCCAATCGGCAGCCGCCCAGGCAGCAGCCGCCGGCGGCGGAGGCGGATCGGGTCTGCCCTTTCGTCAGACCTGCTCCTGGATGGATCGACACGGTCGTCCGGCCTCGCCGCCCATGGAGTACGGCGGCAGACGAAACGATCGAAGAGATCGGTAAGCTGGATTAAGTATAACTACATATAGAATATACTTAGTAATATATATTTGTTGCTTATCTAGGGTACGTCGCGTGGAACTGCTCATTGAGCCGGGCCAATCGCTGGGCCTGATGATACGCGGCGGCGTGGAGTACGGTCTGGGCATCTTTGTGACGGGCGTTGACAAGGATAGCGTCGCAGATCGTGCCGGCCTCATGATCGGCGACGAAATCCTGGAGGTCAATGATCAGTCGTTCCTCGATGTGACGCACGACGAGGCCGTCAGCCAGCTGAAATACCATAAGCGCATGTCGCTGCTGATACGTGACGTGGGCAAGGTACCGCACTCCTGCACATCCATCGAAATGGAGCCCTGGGATGCGTACAGTCCAACGGGCACGAGGTGAGTTGAGAAAACGGTGATGTGAGGTGGGAGAATTGGAAGATAATGGAGAGTAGAGAGGACAGTGAAAAGAAAATGGAGACCAGATAGTGGAGAGTGGAGAGTTTAAAATGGAGATTGGAGGGTAGAGAGTAGAGCGTGGGAGCAAAGATTGGAGAATGGGGTTGAAGATTGGAGAGCGGAGATTAGAGAATGGAGAGTGAGAAGTGAAGACTAGATGGTGGAGAGTGTAAGTAAGACAAATAACTAGAAATGATGTCATAAAGGACATGAGAGACATGAGAAAATGGATAGATTAACTTGAGAAGAGATGTGCATAACTGTTTATGTAAAATATTGATAATAAATCTTTATATCAAACCTTTCTTCCCATCTCTCGCAGAGCACGCCGAAAAGGTCAGATTGCGACCATGGTGGAGGAGAAGGCGCGCTCACTGCTGCCACGACATCATTTTGCAAGTCTTTCATATTATATAGCCGAATATAGTGTGAAAGCAATGACCATAGATGCCTTTGTTGCCGTCTTATTAGAGATGTTAGATACGTACGAAAAGGTAAGCTAAACAGATAAACCAAAAACTCCTCCTCTATATACTAATTAAGTCGATCTTTAGCACACGCTCGTGACGGAAATTCGAGAGCTCGTCTTTCCGGAGGATCGTACACGTTACGATGAGCTAGTGTATCGCCGTGAGCGCGATCCATATAGCGTGGATAGGCATAGGGTAAGATTGTCAAATACCTCTATAAATGTATATGTGGAATAGAGAGTGCTCATTATAATGTCTGTCTAATTGACAAACTCCATTCCTGCAGCGTAAAGGAGACCCCGCACGTGATTTGCCGGTAAGCTTTTTAGAAGATTTATTCTACGACACTGACACCATATATACCTAGCTGCGCATGTTAAACTATTGTACGACAAAAATAATTTAACTACTCGCCTAGAAACTAGTCAAAAGAGAAAAATATGAACTCTCTACTATATAATTTATATATATACATATAACTATGTCTAACTATATAACTGTGTATTATCTACTACGAAACTGTTTCTATGAGATATTTAATTTTATTTACATCTTATTGTTGTTGTCGCTGTTGTTGTTGGTGTTGTAATTTTTAGTTATATTTAATTGATTAATTCTCTAATGGAAATTATAACTCTTGATTATAAGTACAACTCTATACTCTATACTCTATACACAAGCAAATACACGACACTTGTCCAGACAAAGCAAAACTTGTAGTTTAATTACTCATCGTGTAGGAAACTTTGAAAGCAACTTTAACTGTTATATGTGTTTATTTACGATTATTATGTTTTTGCTTAATAGTTCTTCTCTGTTTGCTCTGCATGTTTATCAGTTTGAGAAAAGCTTTATTTAAATCGGCTTTTCGATTTTGTTTGCCTGGTGCAAACAAATATCGATAACAAAACGAATGTCAATTTTTAATTTACAAAATAAAATTAAAAAAAAAAAATGCAAAATGAAAAACATTGAAAATACATTAACAAAAGAATTAAACAATGCGGTTTTTGTAGTTGCACAAAAATTCTTTTTTCTTCTAGGCCTAAGTAGCAGGTACAGGTAATCGCTGTGCCTTGCGCGTGCTCCATTTATCGATAGCACAGTAAGATCGATAACAGACGCCGTTCATTGGTTAGGTTTAGTTGACTAAGCAACACAATCGATTGTATTATATAATGAAATTTTGTACCATGTATTACCATGTATTCAGATATATCAGTAACTATATCGCACCTATAATACTATATATATAATATACCCAAACAGCAGTCACCGATAGCTCACCCAAAACTCTGCTTAAAACATAACTAGGCACCTAACGGAACAAAGTTATATGCATATATACATATACATATATTTATATGTATATGTATATGTATAGAACAATTGCACTGATCACTTTACTCTCTCTATCTCTCGCTCGCTTTTCGCGACTCTCTCTCTCTCTCACCCACACACACACCCACACACGCTATCTGTGTAGCTGGCTCTATGAAACTATTGCAGGCCTAGCCGTAGACCCTGTATATCATATTTCGCTCTCTTTCTCTCGCTCTCTGTCTCTCTGTCTCACTCTTTCACTCACGCTCTCTGACTCTGAATCGTATGCAACAACAACGTTCGTTCCATTCCATTCCCAACAGGTAACAGCCGACGACATGGAAGTAAGCGCCGCAACTGGACGCAGTCCCTCGTCGGACTCGGGGCTGGGCGGCATGACCGTAACGGATATACATAAACGGTACCTAAACACACACTGAGCACTCACTACTAACTAAACAAAACTAAAAAAAAAAAAATAATAATAGACTCACTATCAAGAAATGACCTGTAATGAACTGTAACTGTTATTCCGTTAACCGTTCCGTTGATAGACCCGCACTGCAGTTGCCCTATCGGCCCATGTCGGCGGGACCAGTGTTGCATCGATCACAGCATTATCAGCCAGCCACAGCCACATCACATGCAGCTAGCAACCAATCACCATCACCAACGCCACCTTCACTACAACAACAACAACAACAACATTATCCACATCATACCTCATTGCGTCATCTGGGCGGCGTTGGAAGTGCGCGTCATCATCAGCATCTTCTCCCCCATCAACAGCTGCAGCAACAGCAACTACAACAACAGCAACAACAGCTACAACAACATCAGCAGCAGCAACAACATCAGCTACAGCCACATCAACATTTGGGACCAAATCAATTTAAAGTCAAGCAAGCCAAAGACAATCAGCAACAGGTCAGGAATTTGCGTCACAGCTAACTGATCTGTCTCAAGCAAACTCTATTCTGGCTCTGTCACTCGCTAGACTTACAAGACTAGTTCCCTCTCTCTTTCTCCTTCTATCTATCCCTCTCTCTCTCTATATCAGATTCAGAAATCGTTGGGTTCTCAAAAAAGTTCTTATAATTTCTGTTTCTCTGAAAGTCTCTCTACACTTTCTCACTTTCTCTGCTCAG